AAATGTACCAATAAACTTAATGAAAAAAAGAAGTTATAAAGATCAGAGAAGATATTAATGAAATTGAAACTGAAAAACAATACAAAGAATAAAATACAAAGAATCTACAGGTGTCACTTGCTATTCCCTGGCCATCTCCTCAGACGCCCAGATCTGTGTGGTTTGTTTCAAAGGATTTGTGGAGATCTGGGATTTGCAGAACCAAAGTTTTATCAGGAAACGTGAAGTTCCCACCTATGGGTCCTGCTGTGTTGACATCACAGGCAATAAGTTCTGGACAGGAGGTGAAGACACCATCCTGTACTCTTGGGACCTGAGGAGCTACCAAAGGCTGCACCAGTACAGCTTACAGAATGAGATCCTCAGCATCACTCATGACACCACTGAGGAATGACTCTTGGTGGGCGTGAAGTATATCTTTTGATGGCGACCTTGAACTTTTCCATCCGATGAGTGTGTAGGATTATATTACTGTAAGAATTCTTTATATATTTCAGGCTCTTAGAAGACATGTAATTTGAAAATGCTTTGCCTCATTCGGATTGTTTTACTTTCTTTTTGGTACCTACCTGAGTGTTTCTCCAGGAGAGTAGGTTTTGTCTTTTGCTGTAAACTCCCTCTCCTGATTGTAGCATTCCCAGCCTAGTTCCTTGAAGCCCTAACTCCTGTTGACTCTTTCTCTGCCTAGGGTGAGACAGGAAGATTAGAGGGAGTGAGAATGGGGGGAATGTTCTCTCCCCAGTTAGCATAAGACTCTTGCAAATCTTTCTCTCTTGGAGTTTTAGCTTTTTTTTAATAGAGAAACTCTGTTTCACAACAGTTACTCTTCCACTGCCAGAGTGCTATTTCCCAGATCATGACCTTGTGAATTTACTTGGATTCCTGGGACTAGCTGAAATCCAGTCTAGTTGGCAATGGGGGTGTGGAGGAATCCGTTAAAACTCTTAGCCTCGCCATCCAGACAATACTCAATCCCCAGCAATCCAACACAATTAACATTAAAGTTTTCCTACTGGGCTCCAGTAGCTTCTGCTCCAAGTAAGCAGATGTCAGCTGTGTTTCTTGATATGCCTGTCTCACCAGATTTCAGCATTGTGACTCAGTTCTCAGAAGGATAAGCTGTACACAGGTTATAGCTGAAAAAGAAAGTCCTGAAAGGGTATTTCTGTGGTAATGAGGATTGAACCCAGGGCCCTGTGTCTGCTAGGTGAGCACACTCTGCCACTGAGCTACATCCCAGCCCTTTATTTTTTCTTTATTTTGGGACAGGGTTCTGCTAAGTTGCCCAGCCTGCCCTTGAACGTGTGACCCTCCTCTTTCAGTCTCCCACACAGCTGGGATTACAGATGTGTACCACTTGGCTCCCAACAAGTTTTTTAAAGCTAGAGAGGAATATTGAATCCCAACAAAATTACAAAAATCTTTTAACTGCTCAGTTCAGTTTCAGTGCTGAAGGAAACAATTTCAAGATGATTACTTCAATGTTAACAAAAGGATGTCAGATGTCTCCATAGCATTATGCAGAAATACAGAATATGGGAAGGCCAGCCAGTACTTCCCACACTTTCCTTCAATTTTGAATAAAAATTATTAGCATTTTATTCATCTACCTAAATTTGTGTTGTCCCTACCAAAGCAGTATAATTTCCATTAATACAATTCAAATGAGTTTTAGAAAAATTTTTATATTGTTTATGAGTTCTCATTTGGAAGGGCTGAAATAGCCCCATAAGCAAGAATTTTCAAGAGAGAAACATCACATAAGCAAAAGGAAATTCCTTCCTCATTCTGATTATTTGCATCTGGGGCTGTGTTGTAAAAAGGAGAAATTTTTCCTCTTTAATAATTTCTCTAATAGTAAATGGAGCTATTACATTTTTATTATTTTAAAGTTTTATTTGGTGCTTAAAATTTGTTAGTAGTTTTACAATCAGAAAGTACTTTTGGCATGTTCAACTGCTCATTGGAGCTGAAAAGTTTGATGCTGATGACAAACTTTGGCAGGCCATTATAACTTTTGCTGATTATTTTACTTTCATCTGGAAACTTTTTAATCAGGAAATTTGTTACTTTATTCCTTTACATGTTACAAGTTGAGGAAATCATGTATCTCTTAGGCTTAGATGTCAGTATATCTGATTTATATTTGACTTTCTGTGGGTTTTGATACTGAATGAATAATTGGATACTGAAGAAAGCTTCAAATGGACTTTTCCTTCATTCGATACCCAATGTTTTGTAAATTAATCATAAAATTTATTATTATATTTGGGATTCAAATATATACAAATTAAATAATAAGATAGATCTAGAGTTAAGTATTCTTACAAAATGTAAAATAAAAATCAATTTCAGTAGTTACCATAAGAATTGAAGATACTGGGCTGGGTATTTAGCTCAGCGGTGTTGCATCTGCCTCGCAAGTGCAAGGTCCTGAGTTTGAATCTCAGTACAAAAAAAAATTGAAAATACTGAATTTGATAATCTCACTCAGGAGGCTGAAGTATAAATAACACTAAGTAAGGGTAGAACTGTTGAAGTGGCTTCAGACTTATAAACTAACAATAAAGTGAACTTGATATACGATGCAGAAAAAGTGAACTTCATATGTATGTATCTGCAAAGAAGAGCTCCATTTTCAAGAACAGTTTTCCTGAAGAAAGCCAGAGCTGATCATATCCAACATTTTGGAAGGTGTGGTATTCAGAATTGTCAGACTTTCAGAAGCAGGAGTGTTTATGGATTGAAAGACTTTCAGCTGTTAGTGGGGACACTGGAACAGGCTGCAACTGACTGTGTACTTTCAGAAGGCTTGTCACTGGACTGAGGCACTTGCTGGTTGTTGATTAGAAGTACAAGACTGTCGTGAACTGGCTTTCACAAGGTGGAGGGAGTCACTAACTTGCTAATTTTCAGAAGCATGGCCACTGTCTCTGATTTTCAGAGAATGTGTACTGACCTGAAGATCTAATTATCAGTGATGAGTTGTTTACAACTTGAGACTTTGGCCAAAGAGTGACACCCCCCTCCCTTCATTTCCCTTAGCCAAACACACAGGTAAGACCATAAAGGATTGTTCAGATCTCTCTTTGTAAAGTCAGCCTGTTTTAACTTGCATGATTTAAGTGCTAATTATTGAAGAAGAAAAAGAGCAACAATGGTTTTTCATTAATACGGAAAAATTTTTTAGGGTGTCCTACAGGGTGGCACAGAATAAAGATGAAATCATTGCATATAGGATGTGTCTGTCTGCAGCATCCTTTGCCTGTGAGTTGAGCTCCTCACCACTGTACCTAATTGCCTTGAGATAAATATGGAAACCTTGCCATACTTATTCTAATGAATGATTATTTGTCTTCTATCCTCCATCTGTGCTGTCCCTGCTTGAGCTTGGACTCTCCTTATCATTGAATTAAAATAGCCCAAGTTTCTAGGCATTGGTCTACCTAGCTTTTTTCAACTACTTTAAATTCATCCTCTACATATTACTGCCAGGACAACTTCCCTTTCCTAACATCAACTTTGGGATAAAGACCCAGGCTCCTTACCATGGTAAATGAGGCCTTTGTCTTCTGCTCAAGCTTTAACATCTATCATTCTTCAGCTCACCAGTTCTATATTTTAAATTTTCCAAATATGCCATATTCCACAACTGTACTGGTGCATGTGCAGTCTCTTGTGTTTGTGAACCCTCAGAAGAGTTCCTATTAGTCTTGCAAACTGGCTCCAGCATCACTGCCTCTGGAAAACTTTCCTTGATGACTCCAGGTCACTCCTTCATTAGGTCTCTTTCTTTACCTTGTGCAAAACTTTACAAGACTCTTGTACTGACACATGCTATCACAACTATATTATCTGTTAAAAACCACTACACTTACATATTGTGACATAATACACTGCTTACTCGTTTGCTAGTCACTTAACGCCATTCCCTCCCTCCCAATTCATGGTTGTTTTGGGTGGCAGTTGGAATTGAACCCAGGGCCTTCATACTGAGTTAAATATCACCCCTTTTTATTTTTTGAGACAGGGTCTCACTAAGGTGCTAAATTGCCCAGGCTGGGCTTAAATTCACAATCCTCCTGCTTCAGCTACCCACAGTGCTGGGATTTGCCACCATGTGCAGCTCAATTCATGGCTTTTTGGATGAAGGTCTGTGCCTTTCTTCTTCAAATCCATGGTAGGCAGTGTAGTAGCTGTCCCAAAGCTGGGATCAAGAGAACATTTACTGGGCTGGGGCTGCACCTCAGTGGTGAACCTTCCCTAGCACGAGCAAGGCCCTGGATTCCAATCCCAGCACCGTAAGGAAAAAAAATTTATGAAAATAGGTGTCTTAGTCCATTTGGTCTGCTATAACAGAATATCCAAGACTGAGTAACTTATGAATGGTAGAAAGTTATTTCTGAGTTCTGGAGGCTGGGAAGTCTAGGAATAAGGTGCATCTCCTCCCTGTCCTTACCTGATGGAAGGCAGAGTGAGCTACTTGGGTCTCTTTTATAAGGCACTACTTACACTCATGAGCACTCTATCCTTGTGACTTAACCACCTTTCCCCAAAGCCCCTCTCTTAATGACTTGCAGGTCCTTAATTCCTTAATCACCTTGGAGTTTAAGATCCCTCTCTCACTGGGTTTTGAACCACTGGGCTACATTTCCACCTTGAACTTGCATTCCTCTTGCTTCAGTCTCCTGAGAAGCTGGGATTACAGGCATGTGCCACTGCACCAGGCTGGAGGTTAGGATCTTAACATGAATTGTGAGGGAACACATTCAGACGACAGCAATCTCCTCATCAAGATTCTGCCACAGGTGTCAGATCTGCTAAACCTTGATAGGTCCTCTGTTACAAATCTTTAAAATTCATGTTTGGTAACTTTAACTGCCAAAGTGAAACAACTGCCTATTTTTGTGTTTAATATATCTAGATGGCAGCTCACAGGATAACGGTAGATACACTTTTATAATAACTTCAAAGCAATGAAAAAATTCTAAGGAGAGGAATTGGGTAGATAATTTAATTTCCAATTCACAGCTATTAATAGCAAAACAAAGGAATAGACCACATTTAAATTTTCTTCCATTTTAAGGAAATCCATGCACAATGTTTGACTTTAGGTCAGAAAAAGGATACACTTTAGAGAATGAGAGGTAGTTTTCAGTTCATTTTTATATTTTATTTTGGTCTTTTCTTTAAAAATGTATAATTTATGTGATTTATCCTTTCCTACATTATTAAAACATTATAAAAATATTTTCCAGTGTAGTTTGGTGGTTTTACGTGAAATCCAGAGCACAGCTCCCTATCCACTCGGATATTTTTGATGATCACATACGTCTAAGTGTATACTTTTATTGAGGAAAAACAAACATCTTTATTTTACAAATGCCCAAAGTCAATGTCTCCAGTTATGAATTCATCTCGTTACTTAAAAAAATGTCCAACAGGTATGAACAATTTCCTATCTGATACATAGTTAAGATTTTATCCATGAGATTTAATATTTGATGGAAACTAAATGATTACAGGAATTTGTTTTTGGCCTGCCATGACACTGTAACATTTTCAAGTGTGCATCTGACGATGAGCTTTGCTTTTAGACTTTTACACATGCAAATCTACTTTCTAGGGGTCCTCTTCCATATGAATTTTATAATGATTAGTAAGGGATGACCTGTGGTTGAAAAGTTTCCCACATGTGTTACACTCATAGGGCTTCTCTCCTGTATGAATTCTCTGATGTGCAATACGTGAGGAGCTTTGTCTAAAAGTTTTCCCACATGTATTACATTTAAAGGGTTTCTCTCCTGTATGAATCCTTCGGTGTTGAATAAGAGCTGAACTTTGGCCAAATGACATCCCACATTCCTCACACCGATAAGGCTTCTCTCCAGTATGAATTCTTTGATGATTACTAAGGGATGAGTTACATCTGAATGTTTTGCCACACTCATTACACTTATAGGGTCGTTCTCCAGTATGCATTCTTTGATGTTGAATGAGAGCTGAACTTTGTCTGAAGGCTTTCCCACATACTTTACATTTACATGGTTTCTCTCCAGTATGAATTCTCTCATGAATAATAAGGGTCAAATGGGAACTTAAGGCTTTGCCACATTCATTACAATTATAAAATTTCTCTCCAGTATGAATTATTCGATGTCTATTGAGTCGTGAGATAGAAGTGAAGCCTTTTCCACATTCATTACACCTGTAGGGCTTTTCTCCAGTGTGAATTCGTTCATGTTGAATGAGTGATGCACTCTGACTGAAGGCTCTCCCACATTCACTACATTTGAAAGGCTTCTCTCCAGTATGAATTCTCTGATGATAACGAAGAGATGAGCTGGATTTAAAGGTGTTACCACACTCATTACATAAATAAGACTTTTTTCTGGAATAAATTATTTGACCAGGAAGGGCTGTGTTGCAACTAGATGCCTTCCTACCTGGATTATATTTATAAGGGTTTTCTCCAGCATGTATTTTCTGATGTATGAAAAGCCCGGACCTTCGGCTGAAGGCTTTACCACATTCCTTACACCTATAGGATTTCTCTACAGTGTGGGTTCTTAAATGTTTATAAAGGGATGTACTGAGAGTGAAGGCTTTCCCACACTCTTTACATATGTAGGGCTTTTCTCCAGTATGAATTATTTGATGTTGAATAAGAGCTGAACTTTGGCTAAAGGCTTTTGAACATTCCTTACATTTAAATAATTTCTCTCCACTATGGTTTTTCTCATGCTTTCGAAGGGATGAAGTGCTAATGAAGGTTTTGTCACACATATTACATTGATAGCGTTTCTCTGCTGTGACTTTCAGCTGAGTAGGTAAATTTGAATTCTGTTTGAAAACGTTTCCTTCCTTTTCACATTTTGGTGGTGTTTTCTCTCTGGGAACAACTGACTTTGAGCTGAAGTTTTGGCTGGATTCAGAATTTTTATGGCTTCTTTCTTCAGTCACGATTTTTTTGTGGGTGATTGAAACTATCTGAAAACTTTCCTTTTTATCTGGCTTCTTGAATTTGTCTTCATATATACAAAGTTTTTCTGATTTCAAGTCCCAGGCTCCATTCCTTTTGAGGTTTTTCATCATCAGGTCCTGAAACGAAGAGTCTTGTGTTTGAGTTGACCTTGTGGTTTTATAACTGCTCTTCCATCCTGGGGGGAGGGGGATTAAACGTGTTACTGTTATATCATAGAATTTAGCTACTAAGATTAAATATGCATAATGAATAATAATGTTATTGATATAAGGTCTTGATATCTGGCAAAAAATAGCAAAAGGAAAAAATAGAGTTAGGCAGTACATAAAAATAATCGATGAGTACAAAGGTACTAGGAGTGGAGGAAATAAAGCAAACTCATTTAAAAAGGGCGCGAGGGAAGAGAGTAAAAGAGGAGCATGAGTTAGGAAATGAAGTCTACGATGAGAATCCAAAACCCCAATGGACTTCTAAATTATCATCTTGACACTTTTCTTCCCTGCATAATCATTGGTAATCTGGACAGTTTTCCTTCTTCTGTTTCATGCCTGAATTCCTTTGCATCCTTCAGATTCAGTTCAAAAGTTAACACTCTCTGAAGACATGCAGATGCAGACATGCACATGTGCACACACACTTTAAATGTTTGCAGAAGCTGCCTTCCAGAGTAGTACATGAGTGATCAAGGAGGTGTGAAGGCAGTTCACATAGAAGTCATTACTGAATAGACCTACAGAGGTGCCATAAGTCAGGATGAGAACAATAGCTGCAAGTTGGAAAGGTAGCCCATTCCCATATCCAGAAAGAGGCTAACTAGGTAGGGTGCACTGATGAGTCAAAGATCAACAAGAAGACAGACAGGAATATAAAAAGATAAAGCAGGATTAGTATTACAATTAGGTAAGGACACAATCCAGTAAATATTTTATCAGGAGAATGGGCACATAGTTTGGCATTTTCTCCTGGGCTAAATATAACTATTTAAAGAGATTTACTGCCTCTTATGCTTGAGATTCCTACCAATGACATTAACTTCTGACCTCAGTACACATTCCTTCTGCTTAGTGACCATCATATAGTACGCTTTTCTCTTATCTACTATTCACTTCTCAGTTTCCTTCTTTAGAGAACCTATTTCCTAAGGTTTTGGTTTTTTTATTTTTTGAGACAGGATCTTGCTCTGTAGTTCAGGCTGGCTGTGAACTTGCAGCAATCCTCCTACCTCACTCTCCCAAGTGCTGGGATTACAGATATGTGCCACCATGCCCAGCTTGAGTTTTGAAATTATTTTTACTCTATACAACAGGGAAGGGGATGTTACCAGGACCTCTGCCGTGGGTCCTGGCCTGTGAGCTACCACAGCACAAGGCAAATTCAAGAACAGACAGAAGCAAGATTTAGAGTGGAGAAGCTGAGTCTTGGGTCCTGGTCAGTGCAGCTGATGGCAGCAAAGACAAAGGCCCCCAAGCACATCCAGTGTTTATTGAGTATAATCATGGGAGGAATAGGGAGCAGGGTGTGCTTTGAAGGCATCTAGTGAAATAAACACCCGGCACGACAGCACCAAGCAGGGCGGTTAGGGAGTCGGCACTGCTTATCTTGGTTGGATGGAACAGACCGGTACTGGAAAGAGGTGCAATTAGCAAGCAACCCATTGGGTCAGTGAGAAGCCATAATCCAGGGGAAAGGGTTTTAATTTTGGTCACGCTGACCTCAGCTGCACATAACTCAGCAGACTCCTGCCACTTCACAGACCAGGTCCTAGGTTTCCATGGTAACCATTGAGGGTGGGGGTATACTTGCCCAGTCCACCATCTGACCCCTTCATTGAGTCACGTAGAGCTTCAGTCTGACTCCTGATATAAAACAGTATAGCTGAATTACGGAAGCCAAGGAGCAGGTGCCACTCATAGCCCGCTAGTACTGGGAAGGGGCATCTCCTATACTCCTTGACTAATTTCATATGCACCCATATTTTTACTATTTATTGCAATTGAAAGAGAGTTCTTTTTTCTCCTTTCTGCTTAACACCTTTCTAGTTCCTTCCCCATCTAAGGCACACTAAATTAAACAATCAAATTTCAATTATATGGGCCAAATGTATTGGGAGTGCTTCCCTCTGTGTATATCAGTCACTGTTTCTAGGTTTATACATGTTGTGCTGGGAATAAGACAGCAAGATTTTCCAATCTGGATTCCAGTTCATAAGGTAAGGTAGAGACTCTGCCTTAGTGTAAAGAAAGGCTGCAGCTCTGACATCAACTCACCTTTACTACGGCCCTGAGCATCAAGGTCAGGCATATAAATGGAATTTTGTTTCCTATTCATTCCTGTCTCTACCAGTTTCCCAACTAGTATACCTGCCTTGAGTCTTGTCCTCTGGCAACGCAGTCTCACTGTAGCCAAGTAATCTTTCTAAAACCCATATCTTACGTTACAAACTTTCTTAAGATCCTCCAATAGATCTTTAATGATTCATAAATGAGGTCCAGAGTCTTTACCATGGTGAACAAGACACTGCATGATCTGACTTTTGTTCACCTCTGCCCACACCTCTCTCTCCTGTTTTCTTTTGAGGTACTGTGAATTACTTGACGTTTACAGTATATTCTATGCTTTTTTCTTGTTTCTTTACCTTTACCTCTGCTGGTGACATCCTTTTCCATTCATGAATATTCACTACTATGCGCCAGGTTAATATTCTGGGGAACTCAGATAATGTGTTTGATAAGACAAGGTTCCAGCCTCAGGGAGCTTACGTTTTGGCATCTACATGTTGCTTATACATTTGCTGGAGATGGAGGAGGGATGAAATGACAAGTAATAAGGAAATAAATAAAACCTGTAAGGCTGTCTGAAGAGCTTTCTGGGCAAAGAAGCCAGCAAACACAAAGGTATGGCTGACTTCTGAGACTAGCAAAGAACTTGACTTGGCTGGAGTGCAGTGAACAAAAGGAAAAATGGCAGAGCAAGATGAGAGCACTTGATGCGGGAAACCACATAAGCCCTGCTGGGTCTTGGTCTGGACTCTGAAGTTTTATGCTAAGCATGGGGGAATTATGGGCTCACTTGAGGTGGCTTCTGTGTAGAGGAGATTGCATGGGGGCACAAGTGAAAGCAGGGGGGAGAAGAGGTGCTTTAGGGAGCTGCTGTGGTGGTCCAGGGGACAGATGGGGCAGAGGGACAAAGGACTGCATCAGGATGCATGCCAAAGGGAGTGCCAATGGGAAAGAAAGAGAAAGTTAGAGACGATGGCTAGGTTTTGAGCCTGCAAATGAGTGCTGTTACCAGTCCCTAAGAAGGGGACAGCCAGGAAAAAGGCAAGTCTGAAGGGTTATTTTGTTTAAGATATGTTTGTGAGGGCTGAGGTGTCTTGGTAGACACTGAAGGAAGATACTGAAATAGTCAGCTGTATAGATTATTCTGTAGATCTGTGGAAAGGTCAGAGCTAAATATATGCATGTGGAAGTCATCAGCATACAGGTTTTATTTAAAGTTGAAAAACTAAATGAAATGCCCTTTACTGAAATATTTGTAAGTTAAGAAGAAAATGTGGAGAGTACAATGTTCCAGAAGCCACAGGAAGAAGTTACTTCACAGAGGAGTGGCAAATAACCTGAGGACTAAAAACCCTGATTGCGGCAAGGTGAGGGTTGTCTGGGACCTACTAACAGTGCTTTTAGGAGAACAGTAAGGAAGAAAGTCCAACTGGAGCGCATAGAGAAACTATGGCAGGTGAGAAAATAGAAATATTAAGCACAGAAAAACTTTTGAAAAGTTTTTTTTTGGTACCAGGGATCAAACTTGGGACCTTGAGCTTCCGAGGCAGGCGCCAGAACCACTGAGCTAAATCCCTGGCCCTTGAAAAGTTTTTTAAGGAGAATTGAGACAAGGGAGTTTTTATCTGTAATGGAGGCCATTACACCTACAAAAGTCTGCACCACTTCTGGTAACCTCATCTCAACTGTAGAAGCGCCAATGCGTAGGTTTGAATATGTATTTTCCACTGAAAAGGAAATGAGACTTGGATAATAGATATCCTAACTGTTCCTTATGATCCGCAAATATGTCTCCTGAACTGCAGTAAAACTCTTGCTCCCTCTAAGAATCAAGCACAGGCCTAAGCTGCCTCATGAACAAGGTTAAGACAGGTCAGAAGGAGGCTGGGGATTTAGCTCAGTGGTTCCACCACCTGTCCAGCAAGTGCAAGTACCCAGGTTCAATCCCTGGTACCAAAAAAAAAAAAAAGACACATCAGAAGGTCAGAACCCAGAATGATCTTGCTAATGATTGTCACCCTAATTAGTTCCTGTCACCAGGTCTAGATTCTTCTCTCTGTGCTCTTAACTGCACTCTGAGAGTGTTTCTTTAATCTCATTATTTCCCTGGATGATTCTGTCCCCTTCCACACCTCCTTATGTAATGACTGTCTGGATTCTTCTCAAAACAAAATTTTTTTTTTGAGACAGTCTTGCTCTGTAGTTCAGGCTGGCCTTGAATTCACTATGGAGTTCAGCTGGCCTCAGATGTGGAGTGATCCTTCTGCATCAGCCTCCCAAGTGCTGGGATTATAGGCACACACCACCATGCTCAGCCCATTCTTCTTAAAGTATTTTGTAGAATGGTTTTCAATGGCTGGTTACAATTTCCATTTGAATATCTTTCTTTTGAAGGCAGCCTGTCCATATCTGAAGCTATCGCATTCCTTTTCAGCTTGACATGACTATAGCCATCTTGGTCATAACTACCACTATGTCCACCACCTGGCATGCACTGTATATCCTACTGGACAAGCCAAGTCTGCAAACTGGTTAGCTGAGGGATTCATGTCTGCCATTGATGCCTGCAGTGCTTTTTAAGTGGTGACGAACATTAATAGCTGTGAGGAAGCCCAGGAACACTGTAGTTGATCATAGGTCACTCTTATCTAGTCTAACATATAAACCCTTTCCCCCTGCCTAGGGGTGTGCAGATCGCCCTCTCTTGCTATTTATCCCAGACAAACTTATGTCCATAACACCCTATTAAATGGTACTTTGTGCAATACTGGATTTGTCTGCTTTCTTTGGTCTTTCAGCACCTTCTGCCTTTGGTAGCTAGTTCATGTAAACTGGGTTTTTCCAAAACAATTTCTTTTCAAAGCTTTTTTTTGGTATGCTTCCCAGTTTAGGATGA